GCCGTAACGTGTGGCTGCCCTATTACGCTTGCAGATGAAATAAATCGGTTCATGAATATAATCCTACCATTCTCCACTAAATCCCAACGAAATTTAGAAAATTTCTTCTAACGCAAGACTAACGGTGCAACTATGCAACTTCCTTTCGGCATTTTCTACAAGAAACAATTTCAACTTTTATGTATAAAAGTGGGAAGTGTCTTTCTTTCGCTGACATGTTTTTTATAACGATGTACCTTCCTTTCGGCGGTTTCTACCAGAAACAACTTCAACTTTTATATACAAAAAAAAAAAATGTATTAGGTTCTCCGGAAAGTGTCTTTCCTTTGGAAACGTGTTTTTTATAACGATGCACCTTCCTTTCGGCATTTTCTACCAGAAACAACTTCAACTTTTATATACAAAAAAAACAAATGTATTAGGTTGCCCGGAAAGTGTCTTTCCTTTGAAAACGTGTTTTTTACAACAATGCACCTTCCTTCGGCATTTTCTAGAAGAAACAACTTTAACTTTTTTATATAAAAAAAAAAAACAAATTGTTGTTCGGAAAGCGTCTTTCTTTTGCAAACGTGTTTTTTACAACAATGCATATTCCCTTCGGCATTTTCTACAAGAAACAATTTCAACTTTTATGTATAAAAAAAACAAATGTATTAGGTTGTCCGGGAAGTGTCTTTCTTTCGCTGACATATTTTTTATAACGATGTACCTTCCTTTCGGCAGTTTCTATCAGGAACAACTTCAACTTTTATATAAAACAACCAACTTTTATATACAAAAAAAAAACAAATGTATTAGGTTGTCCGGAAAGTGTCTTTCTTTCACAAACGTGTTGTTTACAACAATGCACATCCCCTTCAGCATTTTCTACAAGGAAAAATTTTAACTTCTATGTATAAAAAAACAAATTAGGTTGTCCGGGAAGTGTTTTTCTTTTGCAAACGCGTTGTTTACAACAATATACATTCCTTTCGGCATTTTCTAGAAGAAACAACTTTAACTTCTATGTATAAAAAAAAACAAATTAGATTGTTCGGAAAATGTTTTTCTTTCGCAGACGTGGTTTTTTATAATGATACACCTTCCTTTCGGCATTTTCTACCAGAAACAACTTCAACTTTTATATACAAAAAAAAACAAATGTATTAGGTTGTCCGGGAAGCGTCTTTCTGTTGCAAACGTGTTGTTTACAACGATGCACCTTCCTTTCTGCAATTTCTCCAAGAAACAACTTCAACTTTTATGTATAAAAAAGCAAATTAGGTTGTCCGGAAAGTGTCTTTCTTTCGCAAACGTGTTGTTTACAACGATGCACCTTCATACAAACGTGATACCAAGTCTGTGAAATATCGCGATGTTTATCTCAACGGAACAATTCGACAAAATAATATAAAACAAAAAAACGTTGTGCGTCTATTATTTCCTCATAAAACGAAAGAAACTTTTCCCAATACATAAAAATACAAGAAGAAGCTGATAAAAATTTCTCCAACAGGGGACGGACTAAGTTATCTCGTCTTTTCTCAATGTTACACGTCCGTATGTCTAAAGATTCAAGTTGAATTGACGGGTCGACACAATGCACCGTATGCGCCACTCCATCGACAGGAAGATCCGTCTCGCGGATCGTCAACCAACGTACGTACACTCGGAACGTTGATCTCCCGGGAATAGAAGGAGAGCGACACGGTCACAGGATCGATGGGTTTATTAGCCGAACAGTTCCGCCAGTTCCTTTCTTTGTTCCTATTGTTGCGCGATGCTGTGGCTGGTGTACGCACATGCACGACAGCAAGAGTTAACGATGCACGCGTTCATACGTGACATGTATTCACGGCATATGGCGTAACGAGGCGAAACCAGGAAGACAGAAAGGCCCGTGGGAAAAGGCGCGGAAGCCGCAGGGTGCACAGTGCACACGCACATGGAAAAGGTGTCGTGAATTGTCACTCGGATCGATCCACGCTGTGTTCTATTCGCTGGTTTGCGAGCGTCGTCGCACGATACGAATCATGCACGTACTTCAATGCGATGTTCCAACGATCGCCATAATAGCAATATTATTATTTACCTGTTTATCTATTTGCTTTATCGGCCGAGCAAACCTAATCAGATTTTTGGATTAAGCTAATCGCGCGTTCCGAACGTTTGTCGTCGTATTTAACTTGGTAACGAAAGATGTAATCGCTGGACTGCGTATGTTTTACGACTGTTAAAACTACAAATTAGAAACTGCGAAGGAGATATTACGTATAATATAAAATAATATAATAAGATAATATAATATAAAAAGATGTAGAAATAAACCGAAGCAATGTACATGCTGTAACAATTACAGCTATAAAAATAGATTTGTTTCTAAGTTTCATTCGTTTATTTAGAAACATGAAGATACTATTAAAGCTGTTAGAAATATTCGTCGTAACGATCAGCTTTGAGATTGAATTATAAGTTGGGATTAAAACAAGGTTGAATTACAAGTTGGAGAAAAATTCTGCAGTAGGTTTTGAGAATGTGGGTAGCTTTAAACATAGTTACCAGAGATATTTTTAACATTACGCTGTATTGTCATCGCATTCTTTGCCATTCTATTTCGTTGTCATAATTATTACGTAACAGTACCTTGGAAATAATAGAAGGTAGAAATTCCCAACGATTGAATTTTAATGAAAATCGTCTGAATCGTCTCTCTCGACTACATTGAAAGAGAACCCGATTGAAATTCAGATCAAAGGCGGACGATAATTTTCTGCCGCGTCGAGAACCAGATCCCACGCAATCTTGCACGGCAAACGCATTTTCCCTATCCTTTGCGAACAATCCACGCAGATGAATATTTATCGTTTCGAATTATCGATTACGTAAAGGCGTTGGCAGAGAGGCCGACTGACATTTTACGGGATTTCCATGCAGCACGGGATTACCCGAACCTTAATGGAGTTTCCTAAAAGCTTCTTTCGCAAACGTTACACTTGCTGCCAGTTACATCCAATTTTCTTCGCTAATAGGACAAACTATTGGTCGACTACGTGGCCGAGTCACGCGGCGCAATCGTCGTGAAATATTATTATCGTTGTTTGCCGAGCAGCACGCTCCTTTCTTTTTTTTCTTTTTTCTTTTCTTTTTTCTCGCCCGTTCGCAACCATCGCTATTCTTGGAACAATGAAGCGTTTTTCTTTTTTAACAAGATTTCCGGATAATTCTACCTACAACTACTCTACTATTATTAGCCTCTTATTAGCTTATTCTGGTAATTGCATCGTAATTACGAGGCTCGTATTTCCTAATGCTCGTTGGATAGAGCGTTTCAACGTCAGAGAAAATAAAGAGATAAGAAGCTACAGTCTGCTGAATAATCGCGTTCTAGGCAGCCCGTTTCTACGCGTATTTTCGCCTTTCTTCGAAAACTAGCGTCGACCGGGTCTGCGCTGTGCGTGAAATTCCACTGAAACACGTCGAGTTCTCAACGGAGAGAATCAGGACCGATGATCAGGAAAAAAAAAAAAAAAAGAAAAAGGAAAATAGAAAAAGACGATAACAGAGAGAAAGATAGACGTACAATATTTTAAGCCGGTTGAAATCCACACGTTATAGGTCAGTCGCCTATTTCCGAGCCGGATCGATGAACGCCCAGTCACATGGGAATCACCATGAATCGTGCGTGCACGTTGCCAAGCTGTCTACAACCGCTGCTCGTATTTTACCATTTACGCGTTCCTCTGGGCTTGTTCACGCTCGTGTAAATTTCGCCAAGCGATGAAAACGATCTGGCGAATTATACGGTCGCTTCGTCCGATGCCACGTCAAGTTTATAAATACACAGATTTCACGTTTCTCTATCTTTGCGCGGCGATCTTTTCAATTCGAAAAACCAGAATATCAGCGAATGAGTTTGTTACGACCGTTCGCGGAGAGACGCGGTCGCTAGGAGAACGCGTCAGCGAGAGGCGTAAATTCTCGCTACGATTATGTTAGTCGACGCCGCGAAATAGTCGTTCCCCTGTTTCGGTTAGGATAACAGAGGTGGTTTAATGAATGTAACACTGTATTAACAGGTTAACATAGAACAATATCTTTTACAATAATATGATGAAGATGTTACAGAAATTTGACTCGACTTTGCGATATCTCTAGATAAATTCGTTTGCTCGTCAGATTTGTCGAAGTGTCACGTTTGACTCGTCAGAAGGAACTGAACGCCCTTCGATTATTCCTTTGTCTCATTTGGAAGACGACCCCCACTACGCTCGGGTCACGCCACCGCTCGCGCCTATGATCACGTATACCTCTTCTTGTGTAAAAAACGTAACGGTCAAAAATCGACGTTTCTAGAGCTCGCTGCTTGGCAACAACTATGCTCTCGTCGATACATTGTATATGATCCGGCGGGCAGATAAGACGTTGTAGGACCGCGAGCGACGGTTAGAAAATACAGCCTGTGGTAAGCCTCGTGGCGTAACAGAGTTAAATATCGAGATCGGATAGCGACAAAAAGGGAGAAGGAAGCGGAGAGTAAAGATAGCTCTTTGGTTATGGCGTTAATCTTACGTGGAACGAAAGTGGATTATAGTTAATGTCAATCTAATTGCGTAATTCGAATCGATATGACGATAATATCGAAGAAGAAGGCAATCTCTTGCCGCGTGAAATAGCAAACCGATACTTTCGTTCATGCGGTTCTTGCACGCGTTTCCGCCACGTTGTAGCGGAACACAATGTGATGGAAACACGCTACTATTAGGTCATTCCATAAGTTTGTGCCGTTTTTCGAGCGGTTATATATGTTATCTTTTTTAAACACCTATGAATCGTTGTCCTAGGTATTTTCAGAACATTTCACATCTCTTGAACTGTCAAACTTCGTAATTTTTCAACAAGATCCCGAATTTTATCTTCGTCTGTCCGAGGAGGACGCCCGCAGCGTTCTTCGTCTTCTAAACAGACATTCCCAGCTCTAAAACGTTGGAACTACTTAGTTAAATATCGAGATCGGATAGCGACAAAAAGGGAGAAGGAAGCGGAGAGTAAAGATAGCTCTTTGGTTATGGCGTTAATCTTACGTGGAACGAAAGTGGATTATAGTTAATGTCAATCTAATTGCGTAATTCGAATCGATATGACGATAATATCGAAGAAGAAGGCAATCTCTTGCCGCGTGAAATAGCAAACCGATACTTTCGTTCATGCGGTTCTTGCACGCGTTTCCGCCACGTTGTAGCGGAACACAATGTGATGGAAACACGCTACTATTAGGTCATTCCATAAGTTTGTGCCGTTTTTCGAGCGGTTATATATGTTATCTTTTTTAAACACCTATGAATCGTTGTCCTAGGTATTTTCAGAACATTTCACATCTCTTGAACTGTCAAACTTCGTAATTTTTCAACAAGATCCCGAATTTTATCTTCGTCTGTCCGAGGAGGACGCCCGCAGCGTTCTTCGTCTTCTAAACAGACATTCCCAGCTCTAAAACGTTGGAACTACTTCCTACAGGTGCGAGATGAAAGCGCATTTTCTCCGTAAACAGCACATATGTTTCTCGTGGCAATTGTTACAGAACTTCCTTTCCGAAATTCATATAACACGAGATGTCGAAAATGGATACGCATTTCACTCGTGATTTTTTACTGTTAGAAGTCACTCTGTTCGCTATACTACGATCTTATACCCACGAAAATCTGCTCTAGCCTGTTCTCGATCAGCTAAGCTCAAGTGCATTGGTCCCTTATCGCCGTGTGTTTATAAATCGACGCATGAAATGTATATACAAAAGTCGGCACGAACTTATGGGATGACCTAATACGAATATCGTTCAGCTTTCTCGGAATCTTCAGTGGATAGTTACGCTTAGCAGGTGAGAAGAGGTTTCGTGGAAGGTGCTTGCCAAAGAACAGAAAGTGCCACTTTCCTTCGAGATGAGTGAAAGGGGTGGCAACTGATAATAAGAAGGTGGCATTTTAATTGGCGTCTTCAACCGCATGGAAAATGCTAATTGCCAATTTGTCGTTGGACAATCCTCCGGCTGGTCGTTCCTCTTTTGCTGAGGCAACCGACAAGTTCGACAGATCTTGATCAATCTGCGCTACCAAGCAACTGGTGACAACGTCGCGTTTTATTCGATGCATTCTTCCACGTAAGAATAATTTCTTGCTTGTTTTGAAAAATTTGTTTTAGAAGGAACGTATAGGAGATTTTTGAGAAAATATATATATAAGTAACATATAATTTTAATAAGTATAATATATGCAATTTAAAAAATATGCGAGGATTCAAAGTTTCATGTAATACACGGGAACGTTTGAAGAGGAATGACAACGTTCGATGATTATAATCGCGTTTTATTCAACGCGTTCTTCCACGCAGGAATAATTTCTTATTTCTTTTGGAAAATTCGTTTTAGAAGAAACATATAGGAGATTTTTGAAAAATATATATATAAGAGACATATAATTTGAATAAGTACAATATATGCAATTTAAAAAATATGCGAAGATTCAAAGTTTGATGTAGTACACGTGAAAGTTTGACGACAACGACAACGTTCGACGATCAGAACCGCGTTTCGTCGGAGGCGTCCGATCAGTAGGAAGATTTGAATCGCGAGCGTTCATCTCGTGTGCCGTATCGGTGTATCAAACGCGGATATCCAGACGGTCGGTAAAGTCAAACCCGTGTTCCGCACTTGCCACACTGCTGTACCGTATTCAGAGATGCCGCTCCAACAACGACGAGCGGCGTTGCATTATCCCTACCATTGTCTACCATTTTACAGGAAAAACCATTCTTGTATCCGTATCGGATTAACCAACGATAGCAGAAACTTGTTTCTGCCAGCTTTGCAGAGCAACTCTGCATCGCTCGCATTTTGCATCGATGATCGTTCTCGAGCACGTTCGCGCACCATAGCCCAACTTTTTCACGACACTATCGATTCATCGATACAACCAAACGCCAACAAATCTTTCGATTGCGATCTGCCACCGAGTCGTTGAAAAATCGACATCGGTTGTGTCTGCTATTTGAAAATTAGGTATCAAAATTAATTGCAACGAACAGCGCGAAATCGTCATAACGCTTAAAACCACTGTTTACGATTAATTATCGATACGGTGCAGGATCGCAGTTACCTTCCGTCGCCTCGTTATCGTTTATCAATCTTGGTCGTTGGATCGGCCACACATTAATATCGAATCGAGCGGATTTTTTAGACAAATGGCTGGTGGCGGCTGGCAAGACAATAACAAACGAGGCTCGAAGGCAGCCTGATAATTAATACGTCAAAATCACCGGCGAACAAACGACCAGTCGTTCCATGCACAACGCGCCTAACTGAAATTCATTTGCGCACCTATACGCGTACAGAAAAGCTGCCCGTAGCCATTACACTCGCAGCCTGACAAATTTCAACCGGGACACGCACGTGCAACTGGCAGCTCGGCCATTTCCACACTTTTAATCGATCCGATTCTGACTTCAGTCACTTCCCATCGCGCTCAGTCGAAAGCGGACAAAAGGGAAACGCGTCCGGTCCCGTGTAAACCGCCGATCTCTTAACTTTCCGCATACCGTGGCGAAGGTCGCTGTTACGCGCCCGAATTCTACCCGAAACTTGCCGATCGTTGGTATCGCGTCTGACAGGAACAGCGCGTAAATGGGAAGCTAGTCGAATGTGTTCGTTGCATTCTGTTCAATCGAAATGTATTGAAGAAACCTGCAAGTGTGAGGAGATCCATTGTCATACTGGGAACGAACGATCGTTTAGCATTTAGCGATCTAGCGATCGATCTGGAATTGTTTTGATATCTGATATCATCGTATCGAATGATACGCAGTAAAAATTGTAAAAACGCGTGGGAAGTTGTAGAAAACGAGGAAACTGGTTAATTGGGGTTCGATAAACAGACTGCAGGACCCTTTTACACTTTGATATGTACCAGCCATTTTGACTGGTGTTGGTATAAGTAGTCTTGATGCGAAATTATTTTCAGTTTGAATACATAAGAAAAGAAAAGAAAATTCATTATATTGTTCTTTTAGTTATCATTGCCAGAGTCACTACATCATTGTAGAAAAAAATATAACGCGAAGTAGGAATTTAAAAATAATATTGTAAAATCAGTCAATTTGACTGGTGTGATAGTTCTAGAATAGAACTAACCTAACCTCAATCTAGTCTAAAAATACCACAGAAGACAAAATGACTGGTTCTACAATTTTATAAATTTGTCAAACCTCGTTTAGGGATCATAATTCATACAATTCATGATTCATATAATGAATTTTATTTTGTTTTTTATGTATTCCAACTCAAAATAATTTTATATCGAGGCTACTTATACCAACATCAGTCAAAATGACTGGTTCTACAATTTTACAAATTTGTCAAACCTCGCTTAGGGATCACAATTCATATAATTCATATAATTAATTTTATTTTGTTTTTTATGTATTCGGACTGAAAATAATTTTGTATCGAGGCTACTTATACCAACATCAGTCAAAATGACTGGTTCTACAATTTTACAAATTTGTCAAATCTCGCTTAGGGATCACAATTCATATAATTCATATGATGAATTTTATTTTGTTTTTATGTATTCAGACTGAAAAGAATTTTGTATCGAAGCTACTTATACCAACATCAGTCAAAATGACTGGTTCGACAATTTTACAAATTTGTCAAATCTCGCTTAGGGATCACAATTCATATAATTCATATGATGAATTTTATTTTGTTTTTTATGTATTCAAATTCAAAATAATTTTGTATCAAGGCTACTTATACCAACATTAGTCAAAATGACTGGTTCTACAATTTTACAAATTTGTCAAACCTCGCTTAGGGATCACAATTCATATAATTCATATGATGAATTTTATTTTGTTTTTATGTATTCAGACTGAAAAGAATTTTGTATCGAGGCTACTTATACCAACATCAGTCAAAATGACTGATACTTGTCAAAGAGTAAAAGGGTCCTGCGAGCAGTTTATCGAACTCCCATTAACCAGTTTCCTCATTTTCTACAACTTCCCACACGTTTTTACAATTTTTACTGCGTATCATTCGATATAATGATATCAGATACCAGGGAAATTCCGGATCGATCGCTAGATCGCTAGATGCTAACGCTAAAAATACCACAGCAATCAAAAGATCTACAATTGGTTCTACAATTTTATAAATGTGTCCAACCCTCGTTCAGGTCGGTCATGGTTCCAGATGGATTAATAATACCAAAAATGTACTAAATAACATGGAATTCCTTCCGTAAGAAAGCAATAAATCAATAAATATACAAATATTCTATTATTACGTATTTTTTAAACACCAGTCATTCTCACTGCTTTTAATAGAAATATCTTCGTGTTAACTATCGGTAGTTCTAGTGTTAAAGAAAACCTAAGGAAAAATGTACAATATCTATCGTCTATTTAACGATTTAGAAAAATGGCAAAAACTAACGAACGTTTTGAACGCCTGATGAGAGTAGCTTCGATCGATACAGGACAGCAGACGGCTGAACGAAATTGCAGTGGAAATCGAATTTTCGTTTCGAGCTTGCACCGCACGGCCTTTTGAATGCGTCGCTCGATTAGCAGAATTAAACGGGCCACCTCATCGGTAACCACGAAATGCAGCTGGCTAAGTGCTCGCGTTAACCGCAGGCAGGACGAAATGCGGCCAGGTAAGTAAAAGAAGAAACGAAACGATAAAGTCAACAGAGGAGAGAAGGTGGTTGCAAAATGCAATTAACTGGCGCCATTCACCGATACGGGCCTATGAATTCTCAATCGCCGTTTAATCGGTACAATCTGTTCCGCAGTTAGCATATCGGTAGTTGATTGTGTGGGGGACACAGGATTGCGCTTGTACGCGGCTCCGAAGGCCGGTCAGTCAGCCAGCTATTGGAAATCAATTAACCCACGACCGTGGCACGTCTCAACTCTACTCCTCTGCACTGTCGCGACCGCCCTTCCGTACATATGTGTGCACCGCCGAGATTATCGATATACAAGCGAGCAATAGCTGGAGAAGAAAACATCGACACCGGTGATTAATCCGGTCGCGATTTCCCGATTTACGCGTGCAAACGCTTCTTCCAAGTTGGAATTTTCATGGCTCGCGCAGGTGGATGAGAATCAGCCCGATCTTAATTGCTAAGAGCTACGGCCTTAATTGCTGACAAAGTCGATGAAATATAGGTGTTTCGGGTGGGTGGGGGGTCGTGTTGCTGCTTGTTAACGTAGTTGTCAATTCACGATCATAATCGACCATTCTCTTCCCATCGACCGTGACTTTCGCGTATATTTATACGTCTAATCGAAATATTACGTAACGGGTGTCCTTGTAAATGAATGTAACATTCCTGGCGGTATTCGCAGGATGAAAGATACAGCGACGGTGGAGAAACGTTCGGAAAGTACGGGAAGAGATAGCCGGACGTTGCGTAGTTTGCCACACGGAGAATGCAAATGCAACGACCAATTTCTACGACTCATCGCGGTAAAAACTTTGCAACTGGGTCGGTGCTAGTCCATAGCCAATTTTGAGAAATTCAGCGCGCAGAGCGGAACAAGTATATCCGCGTTTATATCTCGAAACTGTTCCAGCTTCTTTCTTCCAACGCCAATAAAATATATCGCTCGTAAAGTTAACCCCTGGCCAAATTGACTCTGTCATTTGTACTTTGCGATCCCTCTCGGCCCATGAGAAACCCTACGAATAATAGTTTCGTTGCAAACAGTTAGAAGAGGAAAAAGAAGAAGATAAATCTCTTCTATGCGGAAACATAGCTCGGTTCGATTCGATTAAGAAATACAGGGGAAAAGTGAGGGTAAGTTTATGTTCACAACAATATGCGTTTATATGGTTTCACCGAGTAGGAGGATCGATTGAACGTGTACATAACAAGAAGCGGTGTTTCGTTCTTCGAACGCAGCGAGTATAGGCGCAAAGTGATTGACAAAGGATCAGCGTAACCAAGTGACTCGAACCACGTGTCCTATTGCGCATCTGCATTATTCAATTACCAAGTTGCGAGTAAGCGTTACGGGAAGGCAGCTCGGCTGGAAAATGCGAGTTATACCATGCATCCGCCGACGCCAAAGAACTCTTCTCCCTTTGTAATTCCCCGTTCGACTCGAACGCATTTCACGAGCCAACTCTTTTTTAATCCCATCACCGGTGCCTTGTCTCTCTCGTTTACCACTTTTTTTTTATCGCCTTTAAAATTCCTCCTTCGAAATCAGTTTGAAATGAAATCGTCAAATATGTAGCGGTACATGGAGCCAGAGGACAATTCGAATCACGTTGTTGTTTTGCATCGGAGTATCAACATCGTTAGGGCGTACACGATGTAATGATAAATAAACTCGACTAAGAAAATAAGAAGAAGACTAATTTGAATTTTCCGGCACTCCCTCGATCAGTTTAAATAGATGACCATGTTCTCCAGTTTATCAGTCAGTCGTGCGAATCAATATCAGTATCTATGAGTTATCAATTAGTCTCGAAGGATCTTATTAGCGATTCGTACACTGTCTTTAGCAAATCTGTTAGTACGAGCGTTGTAAAGGCACTCGACAGTAAACTTTCTTCTGACAAGATGATTGCCAGATTGCACAGAATATTTTCAGTTAGCCTAAGGAATAGGCTGTTCATGATTAAATACTTAGACGCTATAACCGCAACATTTCCAATAGAAGCTGGCATACCCCAAGGCAGTGTCCTTGGACCTCTGCTGTTCGACATTTACACTGTCGATTTGCCAACTTTAACAGAGATAGCCACAGCGACATTTGCTGATGATACAGCTTTATTAGCATCCCACTGAGACCCGATAATTGCCTCCTCGACTCTGCAGCGAGGTGCCGACTCTATGGAAAAGTGGCCCCACAAATGGCGCTACAAAATAAATGAAAATAAATCCAGTCATATAACCTTCGCGCTGCGAAAACAATCCTGCCCACGGGTGACCGTAAATAATATTCCAATTCCGAACAAAGATACAGTCAGACATCTGGGCATGATTCTGGACAGAAGAATGACATGGAAACGGCACACCGTAGATAAATCCAAACAATGAATGAAATGAAAACTAAAAAAATTCTGCTGGCTCATTGGCAGACGCTCCGACTTAAACACGCAGAGTAAAATAATGCTATATAAAGCTATATTAAGAACTGTTTGGATCTATGGGATCCAACTATGGGGAACAGCGAGTAATTCCAACATAGAAATTCTCCAGCGATTCCAATCAAAAACTCTAAGGTCCTTAATAGGTGCACCTTGGTATGTTGCCACAGTCAAAGAGGAAATAGGAAAATATAGCGACAGATATAGCGAAAGAGTCAACAAACATTGAAACCCCCTAATTACTGGATTACTCGATACGTCGGACCAGATCCGCAGGCTGAAGAGACACTACCCGTTAGACCTAAACACTAGATTTAATTAGATATTTGTATTAAGTAATATTTACTTATTTACAATACTTACTTATAAATCATACTTGTCTATAATAAAGTATTAACTTATTATAAGTAATTAGCCATGTCACTGCGCCATGCCAGAGAAAATTACTGAAAATTCTCAATACGAGAATTGATTGTAAATTTTAATAAATAAAAAAAAACATGTTGGTATGTTGCCAACAAAACAATACATCACGACTTTAGGATACCTTAAAGAAGAAATATCCAAATTCAGTAACAGATATGGTATAAGAGTTAACAACCACCAAAACCCATTAGTTACCCAATCACTTGACACGACGGATCAGATCCGCAGACTGAAAAGACGATAGCCTTTACATTGAAGCGTTAGATTCAACTAGAATCAAACATACTATAAACTCTCGTAATCCAAGTTACAGTACCGCGCCAAAATAATTTACTTGTAATTCCCAATGAGAATTGATCGTAAAAAGTCTACCAAATAAAAACAAAAAAAAAAAGCTAGCTCAAGGACCCGCTATAAATCTGAGGATTTATTTAGCTAAGTTCCTTCTCCAAAGGAACAAATAGTCTTTGTTTTAACAGTCCCTAAATCTATCACCTACTACGAGAAGGTACAGGAAAACTGCTTTTCTCACGTACGATGCTTCCCGCTGGCAAACTTTCTGTCAAGGACGGTTAGCATCCTTCTCCAACCACCAACACAGAAATTAACCAATTAACAGCAACGTCAATTTCCCTCACTGTCCGAACCAAGGCTTTTCTCAACTAATCCGATGATCTCGTATCTTTAGACACATCTCATCATAGTTTTCGTCTGCAGCATCATCCTGACGGAAGCATCATCAGTCGTTAGACGCCTGTCGAAGTCGATAGTTGGTAGTTAGCAGTAATAATTGATTCGAGTTTCTCAACATCTTAAGCAGTTATCATCCGAACTTGAACTTGAACCCGAAGTCGAACTTGTAATCGCGGATCCTAAGCAAAGTGTAAGTTGATAAATATATGTCGTTAAATATACTCGAGTGTTTCTTCCGCACCTAACGCGACATATCCACCTCAGCATCTTAGCGAATATTGTCCGTTTTTATTTATTTGTTATCTTAAAATACACTTGACGGTTTCCACAGCAAGTTATCTCGTTATTCAAACAACAAACCATCCTCTACATTGGTAACCCCGACGTGATTTGAACGCGACTAAACATCCTCTACAAATATCCGTGGACCAAACTGCAGTGCAATTAAAACTGCCAGTCTCAACGAGATTCCCTTCATCCGTGCTAAGAAGTTTTGCGCTAATAAGTTGCACGCCAATCGTCCAGCTTTCGTCCTGAATTCGCGCGAAATATCGTTTACCGTGGACTCGAGTTCGCAAGATTCGCGTTTACGATACGACGGCTATATTTGAATAAAGAACGTTTAAAGGTTGAACGTACTGTGGCGAATGTTTGAATCGAAGTAGATGTCAGCGGAAGCGCTATTTTTCCAGGTGGAAGACAGTTCGGATGTTCGTTAACACAGTGCATGCAACGTAACCCGCATTCAAATGATTTACAGCCATGGAAAGTACGAAGGTAGAAAAGCGAGGAAAAAATAGGAAAGAAACCCTATACGATGCAGCACGTCCCAAAGGAAGTTCCCTTCCCGTCCGCTTTTTACGGGTCTTTCGGGAAAAAAAAAAGAAACGATCCGTAGAATTTCGCTAGGAATCTGAGCAAAATTTCATCCGCGGCAAATGTTGACGGCGATAACGCGGAATAATTCGTACGGTTGTTGTTCCTTTTCCCAAAAGACACGGCAAAATAGCGCGACAAAAGGATCGCGTGGCGTAACCGTAAGCGAGAAACGTTCAAGCAAAAGTAGTCTAAGATAGTTCGGGGCTATCGATTCGCTTTCGTCTTTCACGTGAAACTCACGGATGCTGCCGATGCTCGGAATATCTGACGTGTCGGTCCTCTGAGAAGCCATAGATGCCGGCTACCGCGGCCATACCTCAATCTCCACGGGCAACAGAGAACTCGATGGCCATTCCAGTTTCATAATACCTCGCCGAAGCTACGAGCGTGGATGATCCGTGTCCGGTGTCATGTCGTATCTCCGTGAAGCCTGGCGCTCTCTATTTTCAGCCCCGCTTCCCGATCGACCGTCTGCCCGTTTCGTTCTCAGCCGTAGGAACCGCTCGTCGTGCCGCTCCATAAGTGGCCTTGTCCCTCTTTTAAAATAATCCTCGAGACCAGCATCGACCAAGGTCGCGCATCCCCTTCGCTTATCGCCGATCGCCTGTACTTTCACACCTTCCTCGACTCAACTTATTTATTTATTTATTTTTTTTTTTTAATCTTCTATCACTTTACCGTTTCGTCTTTTCTTTCACACATTCTTCGTTACGATTACACTGAATAGGAATTGGTTCGTACACGAGAAACCGCCAACTGCTCGACAGCACGAACGTCACCTTAGGTTGGCGAATCGCAGATGGTCGTAAGGCAGACGAACGTGCAACATCTATCGTCGATTCGTTTCATCGAATAAAAAGTAATGGTATCTCTTAACGCCGTTGAGTTACAAAGAAACTTTCGTTGCAAGCTTTCTGCAAGAAGGATTTCTTTTTTTCTTTTTTTTTTTTTTTTTTGCGAATTTTTTTTTTTTTTGCGAACTAAGCGTAGTCGAGTTGAAAGGAAGTTACTTAAGGGGATTGAGTTCTCCGTTAAGGAAGAAGCAGCACCGCGTGTCCGAGATCCGCTAGTCTCGCATTCTCTGTGTATCTCGCGAAAACTGAAAAACGAGGTCCCATTTTGCGAAAGAGCTCCGATTGATTTATACGCAGCGTGATCGCTAAAATTAATCGAGTGTCTCGCACGTGTTACAAATTCCAACTCTTTGCGTCCCGTGCCTCGTCGAGAGAACCCGCCGTGACCTGTTTACCAATTACGTGTTTCGCGTTACTATTTCAATTTTAACCCAACCGATAATAACCCAACAAGACCGTCGATAAAAGAAATTCCCCTTTGTCGGAGAGAAAAGAATTTCCCTAGTCTAAAAGTCTTACGAGCGAATTTTCTGAAAAATTCTAATCGCGATTTCACCAGCAACGACGACGATCGATCGCCCCTTACGTTCCAATTCGATTCGAAACGAAGGAAAAAGCAGCTCGTACGAAACGTACGTTTCCGCACCGACGATTTCGAACGGACGAACGCGAAGAGCAATTCGTTTGCCGAGCTTTGTTCCATTCTCTGTCGAGCGAGTCGCACGATGCAGCATTGCGGTGTTGCAGCCTCCGTTACCGAGCGGATCGCGATAAACGCGACTTTTCGTCCATCGATTTCAGTCACGCGACCCTCGTTCAACGAAATAGAACGTTCGCGTTCCGCACCGCGAGTCAATCTTCCGCCATTGCTTATTCGCTGAATTTACCTTTTCTTTACTTCATTTCCGTTACCATATTTTTCTGCCCTTCCACCGAATGCAAAACGAAGTTACAATATCGGCGAACAACGACCATCGTTTCTCTCCAACGACGTATGCAACTATCCGCACTGGTACAGTTCGAGTAATATTGTTCGAGGTTGGTGTACGAAAAATGTCACGATCTTGAACAAATGACGAGAGATGACGTTTGTTAACCTCTTAGGTACTGAATTTTGCATGGGCCGTTTCTTTGTACGGCAGAGTTTCACCCGTAAACGATACGGCACTGCAACGCGTGACGGATCATGGTGTTGCCTACGCGAGCACATTGGAACGAAGTTTTTGATAATTAAATTATACTTTTTCGTAAAGATACGATGCGTATACTTGAACTTGAATAATTTACTTTAATAATCGATAATACAATCGAATGTGATATATTTTAAAGCACCACACACATGTCACAATTTTCACGCTCATAGCGCGGTAGTGTTTTTCAAATTGCTCTTCGTTTCTATTTTCAAGCGATATTTTCAGCTTGAAGATTCTACGAAATTAGAAGGAGACGGATCGGTATGTTAAAAAGAGCATCGATAATCGATAATACAATCGAGTGTGATATATTTTAAAGCACCACATACACGTCACAATTTTCACACTCATAGCGCGATAGTGTTTTTCAAATTGCTCTTCGTTTTCTATTTCCAAGCGATATTTTCAGCTTGAAGATTCTACGAAATTAGAAGGAGACGGATCGGTATGTTAAAAAGAGCATCTAATAATAGTACGTTTATTTTAACGCAAAAAATTGATATCTGACACTGGCAAAAACAAAGACTATATATTCTGTCTGTATATCGTTAACATTGTCATAGAACGTTGCGAGAGCACAAAAGAGTGCGAAGCGAGACAATTGAAAAAGATCATTTAGTTGAAACGGTGAGCGAATGAGCGAGTAGAATGAGCCACCATAGTGGCGCGTCGTAATATAAGATGACATTCGCGAAAACCACTATAGTGGCGCGTCGTACCTGAGAATTTAACTGGAGATTCCTTCGATCGCGCGTTATCTCGCGAAACACGCAGCTCGTAATTTGACCGCGAATTTCACCTCAGCTCGCGATAGGTCTTTTGTGCGTGTTAATTGATCCGCGCGAAAATTCCCTACACACAGTTCACGGAAGTGGAAACGAGAGGAACAGGTGACGGTCGTTGCACGAGTATCTCGAGAGGCAGCGCGTACCTCGCTTAAGCTGTCGTTAGACCAACCGGAAGGGACCATTGTCTGCGAGTGGCGGTCCGCGAGGACAATCGAGTCCGAAGAAGCAAAGTACTTTCGCCCCGCAGCTTTCAAAACAATGACGCGCTTGCAGTAGAGCAGGAACGAAAACGTCGACCGAGCTCTTCGCCGAAAGACTATCGCCGTTGCCAGAGAAAAACGTTTTACTTTGTTTTTCACGGCGAAGGGAACCCAAAACGAGCGGAATTTTCGTAGAAACGAACGTTTATTGTGCTCGGTCGAACGGTCTCGAGCATTCGCGTGCAAAAGACGAAAGAACGTTTTCGATGAAATAAAAATAGAACTGCAGTTCGGGAAAAACTTCATTTTTACCAACGGGAACAATTAAAAGAGATCATTTAGTTGAAACGGTGAGCGAATGAGCGAGTAGAGTGAGCCACCATAGTGGCGCGTCGTAATATAACATGACATCCGCGAAAGCCACTATAGTGGCGCGTTGTACCTAAGAGGTTAACGGGAGTATCCCGCAATAGGAAAGTTCGAGTCGTTGGCGGACCTTCTCTCGTTTCCACGCTTAACGAGTACTCCATTCAAAGCGATGCTCTCGCGACTCTTAACGATCACGACATCCCGTTGTTTATACACAGGTACTCGAGAGTGGAAATTCTATTCCTTTGGAGGCGTAGCTCGAACGTGCCTGATCGTCGGCAAAAAATCAGCCAAGAGCAACTTCCCGACAAAGAAACCACTGAACCGCCACACCACCTCGTTACCGCGACTAGAAACCTAATTATCAATTAATTTGTAATTATTATTTAATTACAAAAAATTAACGTAACGCAACTCAAAACCAAAGCCTTTTTCGCGAAGAAAGTAAAGTAATCGAACGTCAGATCGGATGCAATTGAGTCCAAGCTACAATTCACTAAACACACTCGACCAACCACTTTTCACTGCGTGCGATCGACGATTGACGCGAAAATCTTTGAAAAATTTGTGTAAGGACGACACCGACTCGCTGGACCGGAGAGCGTGACGTCAGAGGCTAAAGCGGCAGACCGCAATGTTCGAGTAATATTTATGCCTCTATTATCGTTCCAGCTACTCCAGAAATGGTAATCGATACTCCGTACGACACTACAGCACACACTTTCGCCGTGGCTCTGACGAATAACATTTCGAACGAACAGCTCATCGTTTCGCAGAAAACTTGTCGCGGAAACGTGATACCCGAACGAAACATATTTCTACTGTTTCTACGGCCACTTGCGTGGCAAACACGTTGAGCGGTTATTTATCGCTTTCGATGTTTTCAAGATCATCGAATCGAAAGCGAGTAGATTCTAACTCGCGACGATATTCGATCGGAAGTCGCACTGTTCGATGCAAGTTCTTTCCGCGATATAACTCGAAACGACGCGGCCAGCCATGGTCACGAAGAATTGTCGGTTGATTCGCCTCGACTCGACCTCTCACTTTCGATCGTTCCGCTCCTCACTCGGATCCACTACCCGCCTCGTCTAAAGCTGCTGGACAATTCGTCACGTCACTATGAAATCGAACACCGTCTCAGTATTTTTCGGAACCACCAGCGCAAATGTAAGTTTCCATCTTTCTCGATGGAACTCGGTGCACTTTCCGGCGATGAAACAAACGCACGGTTTAAACGACGAGGGAAAAGAAAACGGAGCACTCTGTCGATTGAAAGTTTTACTTTCTTTGCACACGAACGTGGCGGCAGTGTTTTCGCGGTCGAAGCGTGGAAGAAAATGAGTGGCGTGGCGCGTGCGACGCGCTACGTCTATTGTTGACAGGTCGAAAGGTAACTGCGGCACGTCCAGTTCTTCGAGGCAGCGTACCACGCGCGCCACGTGCTCCGCTCACTTGGCTCCGCCTACCAGTCGCTTGGCGGCCAAAGAAACCGCCGTGAATCCATAACGAAGCAGCTTCTGTTAAAGCCGATCTTTCATCGTTACTCGCGATCCTAATTGGACGTGCGCCGTGAATCAGTGAATTTATAGTCGCTGTTGAAAGTGCAGATCGCGCGAACCATCGGTATTTCCGAACGGAAGCGTGGAATTTCTGCTGAAGAGCAGAAAACAAAAGTTGGAACTGAAAGGAGCGACACGAGCAGCGTGGAAGCCGCAGGGTAAATCCATACTACGTTCCGTGGAAAGAAACGAGTTCCCCCAGAAAGTGCAGGTAATTCCTGGCGGTATCAAGGCCTCAATTAGTCTCGCAATCGCGCACGCCACCTTTAAAAATGTACACGTGACGCGTAACGAATTGTGGCTAGCAATTGCCGCCATGGTTTGACGCGCTGAAGCTTGTGTTCGCGCGGACAGTGTCAGAAGCGCCCCCGATCCTCCGATAATTTCCAGCTTTGTATTTTATGATCGAGCGGAGAAAGAATCGCCGAAGGATCGAGTGAATTTTTTCAACGAATTCCGTATCGAACAGCGTTCACGCGAGAAACGGTGGTAACAGTCGTAGGTTTACACGCCATGCTTATCGACGAGGTTTTTAGCGTGTCCGGGGGAAAAAAACCGAGCGTCAGCCATACCGTGCAACCATGTTCCTTTATCGCTATCTGCAGCGACAACCGGTTCGGTTCAGGATCTAAGTGCAGTATCGATGCGCAACTTCCGCACTGACTTCATTTACAACGCGACTATTATAGTAGCCACGAATATATTACTATGGCACGGATTAAACGTAGCTACTTCGATGTAGTCACACGATTCCGATGACCTCACGCGACCAGACGGTTTCAAGACAGATTGAAAATATTATCCACGATCGAACGATTAGCTTAACACTTTGACTGCCATGTTGGTCATATACGACCGGCCATGGTTTTTCCTGTGGCGCCACGGTGGTCATTAGCGACCGGAACGCCTCAACTTCTTACAATTGTAAAAATTGTATGAAAATTGACAGTTAGGGTATTTTCAATATAACCGATAAATAGAAGATACTTTGAAATTAGAAGTGCCCCGTTGAACAATTAAACATTTTTATTAGAACATCAATAAAAAAAAATGAGAACAAATGTCGCATCTAACGATGCACTGTGTTGAAACACTTTAAACATAAACGTGGCTCGTCGATACAATCTGGACGATAGGTGGTCACCTTTTTGGTCCGATTCTTAGCAATTTTTCATTCTAATTGTTTAACATTTTTTTATAGCACTCTCTGCAAAATTTTCGTGCCAGGTACGCTTGCCCTTCTTTCTTCTGCATTTCGTGTCGCAATCTTTATCGAATAAGTATATTTGACGGCTTTGGTGAATGGCACTGTGTAAGGTGAGTTGCGAGTGCCATTCTAAAATCTGATACCTCGATTTTCGTTTTTGTTGTTTGTTTATAGAGCATCATCGCGTTTGAAATTGATGTATTTAACAATAACTCGAAAGCTAATTTTATATACCACTCGAGGGTTCTTCTATGTGGTGTAGAACATACTATCATTTGATCTGATAAATCTACAGCACATTTTCCTCTCTTGTAATCTACCACTACCATTGCTTTATCAGAAACATCATTTTTTTCCGTCGAACTACCATTTCAGTCGAATGTTTCGTCGAAATCATAACAATAATCATAATACCGTTTACTAATATCTTTTACACGTTTCAACAATATATTCCGCACGTTCTGCTTACGTCGAAATAACCAATGCGAATGGTTTGTTGAAATAAACGAAGCCTTGTTATAATATGTCGCTATCAATAGTTACCAAGGTGCCACGGTGGTCACCCGTTGATTAATAAGATAAACGGTCCATTGAGCAAGAATGTTGTCTTACATCATCAATTTATTATTGTTTTGCCATTATATGCTTTGAATAATAAAATACTCCCGTGGCGCCCTCAGCGAAACACGTGATTTCGGCGTGGCAGTCAAAGTGTTAAAAGCTTCAGGAACGTTTCTTTCCGCAATATCCCTCTATCGGTAAACTCATCAAGCTTCTTCCTTGGGGACATCTGTGTACATTTTAACATGGACGCAATGCGCGCGGCTTGACTCGAGCGATTTGTCGATTTGCAACGGTGATAGATAATAGGTCGTCCGAGAAGTTTCTTTCGTTTTATAAGGAAATAATGGAAAACAGGGTTATGTTCACATCTGCCTGAAACAGCTGACAAACTAGTGTATTGTGGGAAAAAAATAAAAGGGAGAAAATATCTACGTCCTTCTTTCTTCCTACGTCACGTGAATTTGTGGATGAAAAGCTGTTTCGGAAAAATTGAACTTTTCTTGCTAATTTCGAGAATGAAAGAATCAAATTAAACCTCTTGATGAGCTAAGAAAAAATCCACCTTGGCTTCATTAAAGAATGCAGTTATGTATAAAAGTTAGATTTCTTATCCACCGCGCAAAAGAAACTTAGTTGCAGTGTAAAATTTTCCTGTAGAAATAAACACGTAATTATTAGGTCGTCCGAAACGTTTCTTTCGTTTTGTAAAGAAATAACGGACGCACTATATTTTCCATTTTATATTATTTTATCGAATGATCCATTATGATCCATTTTGTTCTATCAAAATAAAGATCACAACGTTCGACTGATCAGATTTCATGTTTGTATAAAGATGCATCGTTGTAAAAGACGCGTCTGTCAAGAAAGATACTTTTCGGACAACCCAATACAACGTTAGAGTCTGCAAGCCAGCCATCGTCTGATTGTCAATCAATTTATAATTAAATCAGCGTGTAATTAAAGTCGCCAAAATCCTGCGCTGCACTCGTGAAAACAGCCGATGTACATTCCCTTAAGTTGCAGCAGGCATATCACATCGTCATCGACGTATCGTAAAACCTTCGCATCTGTCTTTACGTTCAAAGCCGTTAACGCAGAGCAAACGAGCGAACAGCTCCATTAGATTTCTCAACCGGTTTATTTAAAAGGCACCTCTTTGCGAGAGCTCGTATTTCCACCGAAAATAAACGCGTCGGTGGAAGCTCGCTGGCAACTTACGGGGGACGATAAAAGCGAAAATGGTGGGGGAGGGGGGGGGGCAAAAGTTTTCAGCATACAACTCATCGAATATAATTCATAAACCACATTGGACCGTATTAGATCGATCGCAACGAGTTATCGTCGGTTTTATCGACTCATCGTTAGACGCGAATTTCCAAATTTCTGGCGACGGTTTGTCGCGTGGATCAGCTCGGCCGTCGATCGCTGCGATCGCTTGCGGCTGTGCCTGGAGGAAAATGCACGGTGCACTGGGCATCGCGTTAGGAAAATTCGACGGACGAGATTTCAGCAGCGACAGCTGACTGCAGCTACAGCCGACGATAACGTCATCAATAAATGACGAGAAGTTGGCGGAGTTAAGGACAATTATTGCGCCAGCGTGAAATTCCGTGCCAGGTTCACTATAACACGCTAGAAAGAGACGGCGATTTTCAGCTCGTAAGGAAACACGCGAAGCTGAAGTCGCCTCTGCTTCACAGATAATTTATTTGCTTTTTGATAGCTTTCTCTGACGTTCTTCGCGAGTATGAAAAAGCGCTGAAAGAAACGACGAAGTATTCTGTATCTCCTCTGATCCGTTGGAAGGAGATGACGCAGTTATTAATTGGTTTTTCACGACATGCTTCTCCTGGATGCGTCATCGACATAATAAATCAACCGTAGCAAATTTCCTTCGTCCTGATTCCAAAATATCTATACGACATGACCTTCCTATAGACGCACACGAAATTGAACAGGCCAACAAGATCTTACAACTGTCTTCATCCAAACTTCATTAAACTATACTATACACTTCGTGTATATTAAAAAGTGGAAATAAATAACCAAATCGTACTACCACTCGATACATTTAATTTACCTTCAGCTTGAACGTTAACCCTTTGCATGTCGAGTGTGACTCGATGTCAGATTTTATCTCAGGAGCTGCTTTGTCTAAAAATTAGAAAACACAACAATAATGCGAATAAAACTGGTATTTAAGTGAATTTCTATCTTCCTTTATTTATTTAAATTGTCTTATTTTTTAGTTCAAGTAAATTTCAAATAAAACACTTAAAACCGTCGCGAGTTGCTGCTAACGAAATTGAAGTAAAATTCCAAAGTGCAAAGGGTTGACATTTTTAATTTTACCTATATTTCTTTATACTTTTAATTTGACGTTTCGTACAAACAATATATGAAATCGTAAAATAAAATTATTCCTGCAAATATAATTAATCACTTAAACAATTTTTAGACTTCTCTATTTTTCAAGTAGTGAATAGTAGTCCTCGATACTTGAAAAATTGCATGATGGAAACGTATAGCTCGCTGTGGCGCGCGCAGTCGGCTAAATGTTAAAGTCTAACACTTTACACTTCCTAACAAAGAACACAAAGAGCTAAGGAACCAATTTACGAACCGATGTTGCACTCTCATCAATTGGACATGTAGAAATCTAACATAAACAGGGAGAGTCGCCTCTCGAGTGCGAAGAGTTCAAACTTGAAATAGATAGCGTGCGGATCGCAGGATGACGGACGTAGTTGAAAGCGTTGCGAGCTGCTGCTAACGAAATTGAAATAAAATTTCGAGTGCGAAGGGTTAATCTCGTCGAAGGTTCGCGATATCAACCTATCGGTTGCAAACTGACTGATCATTATTTAGTCGACCACTCTTAACGACAGGATCGCCATAAAAATACATCAAGGTCTGTAGAATCATTTATTCGAGCATTAATACAGATCTCCATAAAAATATAATATCGATCATAGTTGGCAATCTCCCTTTTTGGCAACATTTAAGCCACACGAAAGCAACGCTAAAATGATTGCAACGATCCCGCCATTATCGCCTGTATTATCTCTATATACGCGTATAAATTTCCCGACTAACGTTCAGAAATTGCAAACTGGCACCGGCAATTTTCTATCGCTGTAAGCTCGAGTCCCGAAGAAATTGGGCTAAGTATAAAATACAAGGGAAACGAATTCGGTCAACATCGTAGCTGGCGCGCGATACAGAAATTTACGATCGGTTCGTCCTTCTATCTCGATAAGTTGCTACATTTTTACCGCTTTTCGACGAACGTACTTGCAGGATTCGAAATGGGTCGCGGTCGATGCGTCCCTAATTATCATTTACAACAGCTAACGAGTGTTTTTCCATCACGCGAGCGTGTTTTTCGTGCTTTTTACCACCCGACGCAACGTCGTACGTTTATCCGGAAACATTCGCATCGCTATCCGTATCTGTTACGTCCGGTGACTCTCTACACAAACCAGGCCCCACGCAAGATGGCAACTGGATGTCCACATACCTTTACTGCGTACCCTCAATAGTCTTAAGTACCCACCATAAATCAACATCTCTCTACTAGTCGCCTAGTCGTTAAATCGCTCAACCCATCTCTCGGTTCACATCTTATTTACGATTTATATCTCTCGCGATACTGTAATTCACTACTTGCAAGTCACTTCTACTACAATTAACACTTTACCGACCGCTAGCGATTCAACAGCATACGCACGTCCGAACGGCATCTCAGACGCAGATTCTCCGTGGCGCTGGCTTTGTTTATGTTTACACTCTCCAATACCATTCTTTTCGTTCATCGCGAACGGCGAGTTTTTCAAATTGGTATAAAACTGTGGCAGCTTACAAAACAACGCAACTGACGCAACTGAAGAAAGTATCTTAATACTAAATAACAAATTACTGCTCAAATAATGAGAAAGATTGTCGGCGGCAAAAAGCCGATTAATAGATTATCAGTCGGTAAGTGTCGACGACAATAAACCGATTAATAACTTATCGGTCGGTAAAATGTTACCAACGCGATCTTGCTAATAACTATTCGAGTCGAACACTTCTAACCTTATTGTAAACGACATTACAATTCGACATCGTAACCTTATCCCGCGAGTCTCTCCAAATATTTCTATAATCCTGAGACAAGTTGTTGGAATAAAGTATATATTATAACCTGTTAAACTCAGTGTTATACTAATTCAACCAGCTCTATTATCCTAACCGAAATAGGGGATCGATCAGTTTGTGGTGTCGATTATCTACTCGTAAATTATCGAATTTACGATTCCTGTTGACGCGACTCCTCCGCGATCGGACTAAACAGTATCAGTGTCTTTATCGTGGCAATCCGGCGAAGTTTAGTTGGAAAACTCGTGATCGACACGGGAGAAAGCGGAACTATGCGAAAGTCGGATACACCGATGGAAAGTAGCAAGTTGCATAAACAAATAGAATCGGAAGAGCATCGTATTTCGTTGTCGACCTGTGTCCCATTAAACGGAACCAGTGGCACCGATAAATTTCGCGGATTAAACGGTTGCTGATAGAACAGAAGGCGAGGCGTGCATGCGTCGCCGACTCTATTGTTGCGCGTGCGTGCGCGAATTAATGCACGGACGCACATTTCGGCTGCACCCGTTCGTAAGATTAAATTATCATCCGCCTCGTTCACTCTCCGATTTTATCCCAACCGGCAACTATCTCGTCACGTCGATAAAACGCTTAAAATAAAAGGCTAAATTCGTAACAAAAAGAAAAAAGAAGAAAAAACCAGTCTAATCGCAAGGAATAATTGATCTTTGTTTTTCCGTCTATCGAATGACTCGACGAACCAACCTCGAATTCAATTAATGCTAACAGCACGACCAAAGCTTAGCAGAATGGTGCGACCAAATTCTCGGAAATTTTTCCGGTCACCCGGTACAACGGTCCGGTCACGGGACAGTGGAGGACGCAGAGACGAAAAGAGTGGGCCGAGAGGATGCGGCAGATGCTTTCGGTTATTTGTGTGGAGAAAGAGAAGCCCGACAGGACTAAAAGTCCTCGCGGATAATCTATGTGCTCGCACGTCCCCTAATTCGCCTAATTCGGAAAGATCGGATTAATGCACCGCCACGTATCTCGGTTAAGCTTGAGTCGAGGGTGCAATTAAATTTCGACTACAGACGCTTCCTAACGATGTGATCGACTGTTGGAAAAGGAGATCGCAGCGAGGTCTCGCAAGATTCGTTAGGGATCAGATTAATCGCGTGTCGTCGTGACCAGCATAGATGATGGTTCGATCGTTAAGTAGATTTTACAGGTTTTAACGCGTTGACTGCCGCGCTTGTTTTCAATGAAATCTTCTTCAGGCACACACACGAGTGAGTTTCAATTTAAGCGTGCAGAGTAAAATAATGCTATATAAAGCCATATTAAAACCTGTTTGGACCTATGGGATCCAACTATGGATAACAGCGAGTAATTCCAACATAGAAATTCTTCAACGATCCCAATCAAAAGCTCTAAGATCTTCAATAGATGCACCTCGATATGTTACCAACGAAACAGTACATCACGACCTTAGGATACCTACAGTTAAAGAAGAAATATCCAAATTCAGTAACAGATATGATATAAGAGTTAACAACAACGAAAATCCATTAGTTACCCAATTACTTGACACGACGGATCAGATCCGCAGACTAAAAAGACAATACCCTTTAGATTTAAGCATTAGATTCAACTAGAGTCAAACATACTATAAACTCTTGTAATCCAAGTTATAGTACCACGCCAAAATAATTTACTTATAATTCTCAATGAGAATTGATTGTGAATAGTCTTGCAAATAAAAAAAGGCCACGAGTGCCGCTGTTCCAAGCGTACTCTGCTAGGTACTCCCACCGATATTTTAGTAACACTTAGTTTTTTAACGCTTATTTTAGTAACAATAACAAAAAATTCCCGCCAAAAGATATTTTTCATTGCAAACTAGGAAAAGGGGAGATGGTATCCAAAGAAGATGATAACGGGATTGTCGTACTCAAATGGAGAAATACACCGGATGTGAGAATCTTATCGACAAAACACGCTCCCATCATGGTACCAAGTACAAAAAAAAAAAAAAATCGTAGCATTCGTGCTGTTTCCGCAAGCCAACAGATATCAGCAACATTAAAACAGACCGAGGACCCTTTCCGAGTTATTTTCTTAAAAGGCGTTATAAGGTATGAATATTTTTACACAAATTTATATTTCGACGTAATACAGTCGAATTAAACGTTTATTTGATCCTTGGAAAGTTTTAAAAATTTAGTATACTACGGACCGATACGACCGGAACGTAGGAACTTAGAAAAATTTCGCACCGGTTCGAAGAGACCGAAGACCTTTTTCGAGTTATTTTCTTAAAAAGCGTTATAAGGTATCGATATTTTTACACAAATCGTTATATTTCGACTAGCTGTTGTTGAATATAGCGAAGGAAAACGTGCTATAGATTATTTCGACCAAATGGTTTCTTATGCCATCACAATTGGAAAAGGAATCAAACGGTACCGAAAACTTGGCGTTCAACTCCTTCTGGGAATTTCCATTGTAAACGCTTTGACGATTTACAAAATTGCAACAAGGAAGGATATAAATATTAGAATATTTAGAGAATTATTAGCTGGAAAATTATTAGGGCTGTCTGAAAATACAAAAAATTCTCAGCATAATATCAACATGCAAACTATGTTGTGCAGATAAAAGACGTCGAATGGACCGAACAAAGACACAAAAAAATTTAAAGAAAACAACAACTTATTGTCCAAATTGTCCCGATTAAACTCAGCTTTATATAGAATGCTTTAAAGTTCTACGTTCTAAATAATTTTCTTAATAAACCATTTTCGCGTTACTTTTATAACAATTCGATAGTTTCATTATTTCCTGTGGAATATCTTTTCAAATACCTACGACGATCCTTCGCAAATAGTCAAATAACGGGTGACGTAGCCCGATTAGAAACTTCCCCGTCACCCGAATATGGGTGACGCGGCAGTCAACGTGTCAAGGCACAGACTTTATCCTGTCGCGAATTTTCCCCGTCGTTGTTAGCCTTCGTTTCGATAGATTTCCATATCTCGTTCGCGAACTAGGCTGGCAAATTCTATACAAACGGGGAAGAAGAGGAATGAAAGGAAACGATTTGAGATTTAAAAATTTACGACTCGTCAGAAGAAGTTTCATTGTCGTACACCTGACGTGTGCGCGATATTTACAGCCGCGACTTTTCTAACAGCTAAGAATATCTACACCTGCTATTTACTACTCTGCGATAATAAAAAGTTGTTGCGTTTCTGTTTACTCGCTCTCAAGTATCGTTCTTCTGTGTTACTTTTCTTGTATCGTACACTCTATCTCCAGTGTTTCTATTTTAGGAGCTTTTTACGCACGCAAAACAACGTAAAGTGAAATCTCTACGCTCTCGTATGGCGGGAATTCTGCGTCGCTGGAAATAAAAAAGAAAGAAAAAAAAAAAAAGAATAGAAAAGGCGCGTTCTTATTTTCCCTGTTTCGAGCTCGGTTCCTCCACCGAGGAGACAAAAGAGACGTTAAAACAGCACGAAAGGTCAAGCCTGCGGTTTGAAAAAAGCCACTAACCATCGAACGACGTTCGGTCCGACGATCGAATCCTCGTTTTCTCTTTAATAATAGTTAGCCACGTACGCGGCCTGAATATTTAAGGAGCAACGCGGGAATATTTCAAGGGATCCGAAGGAGCAGTTGGCAGTTGCCCCGGATCGATGCGAGTTGCCGTTTAATTCAATCGGCTAGTGAAAAAATATCTGCCGGGATTATCGTGGTCGCGATCCTATTGGCCGATGCTCACCGTCGTCTCCAATAATTTCTCGGCCGAGTGTCGTTCGCGTAATCGGTCACATTTCAATCACAAAGAATGTTAATTCTACCAAACTCTTCGATCAGTTTCCTCGATCCTGCACAAGTCAATCCTTTCGATGAAACGTCACCGACCGGAATTACCACGGTCTGTTCGAAAAAAATCTCACACTGGCCAGGCCGTAACTCGCACGAGTTCGACGACGATTCTCGATTTCGTAAAGTTTACGATCACGTGCCGCGATACGATGCGAACTCGTCGTCCCGTGTGATCCGTCACTGTCACCAGGCTGAACGCACGACACTGGTTTTTCGTACGCGCAACGCGAGCACCGCGGTCGCAGCCGCGAGCAAGGCGCGAGCGCAATAAAAAGAAGAAACGATCGGCAGCGACAAAGATGTAGAAACGAAGAAAGAACGATCGGAGGACACGGCGGACCGCGTACCGCGTAAGTACGTTTCTGCTGGTCTCGTCCGCTGCTGCAGATATATCATCCTGCACCAAGGTCCGCCCCCAAACTGAGGCACATCCTCGTTCCGGTGCACGTCGCGCTACACGGCCACACCACTAACGATTGTTCCTTCGAGGAATGATTGTGACGAAAATGGGGCGTAAATGTAACTACCCCAGCGTTGCTCCGCCAATCAAGTCTCATGGCCTTTTTGAAATCGCGTCGTCCTCGGCGATAGTTGCGTTGTTAGCCAATTAGAAAACGAATCGCGAGAATCCCGTGACGGTTGGAATTCGAATGTGTGCGAGTGGAGGGGAGCGAAGCCGCGTGAAGAGCGAAACTGTTGTTGAATTACAAGTTTCTGCGCGTAGCGAAAAGCCGAGATTTGTTTCCACTGCATCGCATTCATTCTCGCTGTTGTTTTCCATCCGACGTGTCTTTATCGTTCAATTTGGTCGCAAGACTCGGATCGATGCAAAAACGTGGCCACCCAGTGGAAATAGCTTCTGATCTACGAAATTCTCTTGCACTTTCATTTACTTCCGGTGGAGGAAAACAGGGTGTAAATTAATTAGGAAAGTGCTGGACCGCGGTATCGAGATATAGCGAACCGATAAAAGCGAAATTTCTTGCCCGGGAAGAAAACCGTAGCGAAATTCGAACGCGTTACACGCGTTTAATTGAAAGCGACTGCTTCAAACTGCGACACGAATGCGCACGTTGCTGCGCAACTACAGAAACCGCATTTTAAACGAGACTCGAGATACGAGGTGCGCGCGGTTCCCAATAACCGACAGGCCGAGTTCTTTAAATTTGAAACACTGCGACAGTTACTATAGAGGATTCTCCTACTGGAGACTTCGCTTCGCCTCGTTACGACTAATTCATTGGCGACGTGATAATTTTGGTGGTCGAAGCGAGGATCACGACTGCGAAATGCAATCAGAAATTCGCCAGGGAAATTCATACATCGAACGTCCAAGTGGCTGGTAGACGAGAGCCATTATCGAGCTTCGTAGAAAACAAGACTGCTGATGATCGTGAATTCTTGAAATGCACTGACAACGACCGTCTAATGGCTCGCTTACCAACGTAAATTCGTTGGTTGCGGACCATAACACTGGAACTACCGGTAGTTAACACGAAGCTACTTGTACCAAAACCAGTGAAAATGACTGGTCTTTAAAAAATATTTAACATTAGAATATTTTTATAGTTTTTATATCGTCATATTGAATGATACAGTAAAAATTATAAAAACGTGTGGGAAGTTGTACGAAACGAGGAAACTGGTTAATTGGAGTTCGATAAACAGATTGCAGGACCCGTTTACACTTTGACAGGTACCAATCATTTTGACTGGTATTGGTATAAGTAGCCTTGATACAAAATTATTTTCAGTTTGAATACATAAAAAAAGAAAATAAAATTCATTATATTATTCTTTTAGTTACCGTTGCGAAAGTCATTACATCATTGCGGAGAAAAATATAACATGAAGTAGGAATTTTCAAATAAAAATGCAAAGCCAGTCAATTTGACTGGTATGGTAGTTCTAGTGTTAGTCCAGAGAAGAAATATGTTCCTCGATTGTTTCATCGACCGAGTATATCATCGGCGAAATACGAAAGGTGGGTTTGTCGATGAAACTAGAACGCCGAACATGAGACGTAAAAAGACGGTGATCACAACGGATTTGCATATTAAAGTGGTGGAATGTCTCGGATCGACGAATCCAGTTGGCCGCGATCGCTTCTTTTCTACGAATCGCTGTAAAGAAGTTGGCTGGGAAACGGCAGCGAACATGTCAAGGTTAATGAAACCGAGCAATCGTTCGCGAAGACGTGGATTTTTCTTGGCCAATGAAAATACGCAGTTTCCGATCCACAAGCAACAAATTTCCATACTTCACGACACACACACACACACACACACGCGCGCACCGACTAGTTTCGAGCAGCGTCGCGTTTAAATTTCATCTGAAAAGAAGCGAACCGTTCCCTTATCTCTCGTACACCAATTTCCTTCGAACAAGTGTCTATTCCAGTGTCGAATGCCGGGTATTATGCAAGGAACACGTGAAAGGAGAAACGAGGAACGGAGGAATACAAAGCTGAATATCAATGTTATCTCTTAGCAGGAAGCACGAGGGGAAAAACAATATCACAGGCAATTGCATCCCGTTTCCTTGCGTTCGTCTTCAACGAGCTACGAATGGTCAATAGACGATCTCGTTTTCTCTACTTCTCACTCCCCTCTTAGCCTGTGTCTCATTCTCTCGCTTTGTCACGCTGAGGATTCAATTAATCGAGAAACCAACAGACCAACAACGTCTACTGGCCGAAATTTTGTAGGAAAGTGAGAATGCAAGCTGCCTTCCGGCATGGTCGCGATTGTTCTCGAGATCAATTGTTCTTTGTAAAGAGTACGCGACACACTTTGTCGTGACGTCATACCGTTACTTGAGATTCGTGGTAGCTTGTCCAAAGAACGAACAACGTGGCGAATTGTGGGAAACGACTCCTCCGGTCGACGAAAAAACGATTTTTTCCGCTCCAGTCGCGCTCCTTCGCGTTTCTAAACGTGCCTGTTACGCCCCGAGGCTTACTATAGGCCGTGTTTCTAACCGTCTCCCTTGGTACTACAGCGTCACAGACGGATCGTCTTACATGACCGGCGAGATATACAGAAAGTAGCGATAAACGCATAGTTGTCGTCAAGCAGCGAGTTTTAAAAAACATCGATTCCCCTTCGGTCCGTTACTTTACCTACACAAAAAAGGTGGCATATGTGATCATAGGCGCGAACGGTCGCGAGACCCGAGCGTGGTGGGGATCGTCTCCAAGAGAAGACAAAGGAAGAAATCGAAGGGCAATCAGTATTACGCGAGGAGTCAAACCGAATGCATCGAGAGGTTCAAAGAAATAAAATCAAGATCGCTCAGTCAAACAAATACGTCGAGAAATACTATAAAATTGAGTCGAATTATAATAATAAACCAGTTGTATCATCGTTAAATCATTTGTAATGTGTTAATTATAATTTTAAATATTGTTAAAAATAGAAGCCTATATTAACCCTGTTAATTCAGTGTTACAATCATTTGAACTACCTCTGTTATCCTAATCGAAACAGGTGAACGACTGATCCGCGGCATCAACTATCAAAGTCGTAGCGAGAATTTACGCTTCTCGCTGACGCGTTTCCTCGTGATCGCGTCTCTCCGCGAACGGTCGTAATAGTGCCGTTGACTCCAAGTTGCTTGGAATTTTTCAACTATCAAATTCCACTTTCGTGCTATTGGGTTGGTAACTAAGTGATCGCGGATTTTGTCATTAGGTGGTAAAGTTGGTACTCGAAGATGCAGAAAATACATTCGCGTAACGCGACACTCGACGTAGAAGTAAATTTTTATCGATAAAATACTTCAAGGATTTTGATCGACTTTCCCGCGAAAGTCTATCGATACGTTTGCAAGATTCTACGGAAATGTTTAATTGAGCCGGATTTGAAAGCTTCGTGCATCGACAAAAACGCAGAAAGCAGTCCGGATCCTTCATAATCCGACGTGAATATTTATCTTGTAGCTGCTTCGCTTTAGAAACTTTGACAAGTGGAAAGAACACGTAGTCGATTGTCATCGATTCGCGTCGATAAAGATAGCCGCGTCATCGGCGCGAAAATGCCAGCAAAGAGCAAAAGTCGGAAAGATGAACACGAGCGCGAAAAACGCGGTCCTACGTCGGCGCGATTTAGTCGTTCGATAAAAATCCGTCGCTTATGTCGATTGTCCAGCTACGGCTCGGCTTATTCTGAAGCGCGAGTTTTCGCAAATATCGTTTGTAGGTTAAGTCGACTGGTTGCGACGAAAGCGCGGAAAACGTACGAGCCGCGCCGCATCGCGAACAGAGGGAAAGTCGGTTGACCGTGAAAGGAAAACTTGTCAAACGACAAGGCAGTTAGAGTGGGGGTGGTTCGAGGACGTTGTGCAGAGGTTGGCGTACGGTCGCGGCAATGGGGATAGCTTGAAATATTTATGATTCGCCGGAGTACAGAAATAATGTATCGCGTGTAAGTTTGAAACTTCCGCTCTCTCGATGTAATTCGTAGATGGTCATCGATTACGCTGTTTAGAGAATCTCGTCCGAACGAATTTGTACGAATCGTATATCCGGTGATACGTTAAAAAAGTAAGCGTTCATGGAATAACGAAGGTTAGTATAACCTAGCTTCTACCTTACGTTGTTTCCTCGTAGCCGCGCGGTTCTCTTACCGTCCCCTAAATTCGTCTAATTCTGTAAATGAAGGCCATGCAACATGGAAAATAGGAAAAACGATGATTAATTATTAGTCAGCCACGGTACCGATCGCAACGACCAACGTGTCTTACGGGTGAATTTCAATGGATATTTTGAAATATGTAGCACGCGATACAGCGTAGAAATAGTTCGGAGGATCGCGCCTCTTCAATTATTCCTCGCGATATTTTAAACATTGGGGAAAACATTGCTCGTGCACGAGCGTTTCACGCCGAGCGTTTTCGGCGAAAAGAAAAGTTCACTGTTCCAGTTAACCGGAATTTTAGAACGACCCCTGGGGGAGGGGCGGCGCACCACAACATCGAAATAAAATGATTAATTATTAACTGGATGATACTACGACTACGATTACGATCGATGTGACGAAGGCCGAGCCTGGAGGCATCGGCGATACCGACGCGATTATCAGAGCGATGTATCGCTTCGATATCGGTGATTGCCAGGTGACAGAGCCGGAATGCCGAATATAACGAATTCCAGCCACGATTGAACTCCACTTTGACAAGCCAATGACGATGAGAGACGACCTGGAGAGACATGCTGCTACCGTGTCCACGTTTCGATCTGTCGTTCGTCTCTAGACTGTTCTACTCGCAATGCCTGGTACCGTTGCTACTAAACCGAATGAAAACCAACTGTGAATTGCTCGTACGCCTGTGAAAATTACAAATTTTTTACAAACTAATCCTTTTTTCATTTCGACGAAGAAAACCAAGATACGTAGAGTAACTCGAAATAGCAAGGAATTTTCCCGCAACGATCGGCCGCGCAAATTACAGACATTGTTTTCCCCATTGAAATTCACGGTATCCGAGACACTCGTTTAATCCTGCAAACACGATGCGTCCTCGTTTCTGCCACATCCATGAAACACTCACTAGCTCGATTCGCAATTTCGTACGAGCGAGACGATCGAGGACAGCGTGGTGTGAACACTCGATGAAATAGCTTCGACGGTCGAGCAATTGGCGCGAATTCTTTTCGATCGAGCGAAAATAATAGAAAATTGAATGCGACAGGAGCTGGAATTAGCGAGACGCGCACATAAATAGATAGCCGATGTTGGTGGAAAATAGAAACGAGGAAACCGTCGTGGTACACTCGCGGACGCGACGTTTGGCAAAAGCGAAGACGAGCGCGGCTACGCGGGCGCTTCCGCGGAAGCGGTAAGCTAAGAGCGTGACTCGGTTAGTTTGCGAAGGCGCGTGCCGCGGCATCCTTCGATTCGAAACTCCTCTCTCTTACGCTTAGTTTGTTGAAGCAGCGCGCGCGACAAGGTAGCCCACCCCTCGGTCACCTGCCATCGGCCACCCGCAACCGCCTTTCTGCTCTTCTACTCGCCCTCCCTTTTCCGCTCGCTCGAGACCCCTCGCTACTTTCCATCGCAACCACCACCGGCTCGATATTCTTTCCGCGCTCCTGCACGGAACACGATCAACCGCTCCGGTGCGCGCCACTCGCTCCACGAGGCAATCTACTCCTCTTGCTCTCCCACCAGCTTCTCCACGACCGAGTCGCGTTTGCCGTAGTCGTCGTCGTTGCACACGTCCCTACCGTCGCGTCGACCAACAAAGTTAACCTACCTAAGCGAACTTACCTTTCCTATGGTTACGTTAACGTGTTAACGACCGTTCCGACCAGTCCCTGCCTCCTATGTTTCTTTTATGTCCTCTGATCGTGCTACTGGCTTGCGTTAATGGCGCCACCTGCACCTGTTCGTAAAACCAACCGATCTGTACAGCCGATCGACGTTTTATCAAGCAACGGTTCTTGCTGGGTTAATGTTATATTTTTGACAAAACAAAGCACTGTGCTTTTATCGAGTATAATCGTAGATATCGTAATTCCGATTTTCTTTTTTTATCGATGAAAATCATCGATAAAAATGTGGTTGGTATCCGATCTTGACCTACCCTCAGTCTCTAGAAATTAACTAGATCGCAGTATAGAAAGCGGGAGTTTGCTGGCTTGCGTTAGTGGCGCCATCTGCATCTCTTCGTAAAACCAACCGATGTGTACAGCCGATCGACGTTTTATCAAGCAACGGTTCATTGATTCTTGCTTGTTGAATGTCATATTTTTGACAAAATAAAGCACTGTGCTTTTATCGAGTATAATCGTAGATATCGTAATTCCGATTTTCTTTCTTTATCGATGAAGATCATCGATAGAAATATGATTGGTATTCGATCTTGATCTACCCTCCGCCTCTAGAAATCAGCTGGATCACAGTATAGAAAGCGGAAGTTTGCTGGCTTGCACTGGCATCGATCAAACTTGCTTGTGCATAAAATCAGCAATTCTTTGCGTGAGGTATGTTGTCGGTGAACAGTCGTGCATCCCTGTGCTCGGTATTCCATCCACGATGAACACGATGTTCGGTTGACGTTTAAACGGAAACGGGTGTCTCTTGCAGCAACCAACAGACGTCGTAAGATATACGTCGACTTGTAATTGTGAACAGAGAATGTAGAGAGTGTTTCGCGACACGCGAGACTCGATTCGTCTGATAAGCGAGCAGGTGGGCTATCTCGTCTTGCTTTCCAAGCTATTCTCTCCTTCCGGTAATTGCGTCGTGATTCGCTTTGTCTGGCTGGTTGCGAGCAATTGCCACGTGAAAAGTACACGTCATACGCGCAACTCCGATTAAATTAATGACAAGCCGTGTCGTCTTACGCCAAGCGTTAAAATCTGGCGTAAAGAGATGCTCGTTTCGTTCTCTTTCGACCTTTCGAGTATCGGGGCAACCGAAAAAAAAGGACTTTTTTTTTAAATGAAAATGGATCATTTTAAGCGCGTTTTATAACATTTCGTGCGGATAGCTGTTCAGACACGAAATATTTTACTTTACAGACGACCAAACGTACATAGGATTCACCTCAGGGCCGGCGCAAGGCAGGTTCAGCGCGTTCCCCGGAACCCGCGATCTACGAAAATTATCCAATTAAAAAACACCGATTTTGATTAACTTTTTACAGAATGATGATACTATTAACAGATGCAAGACATTTTTTTAGTAGCGATGATTCAGTTTAAAGGAGCTTTCAGAAAAATGTACTTTTTAGAGAAATTAAACTACATCAGTAATTTTTTGCAAAAGTCATACACGATTACAGATTTTGTACTTTCATTGAACTTTTTGCCCCTCGAAAGTGAATTATGGATGCGAAAAAATATTACCTGGATATGTTTAAAAAACTGCTTATAAAAATATATAATATGTAACAGCATTTGTAAATAAATAATTCCTCGTTGTAAAATTTAAGTGTAGAATTTGAATGTGTATTCATTCAGGCCTGCAAAATTTTTGAACCTGGCCCCGCGAAAGGTTACGCCGGCCCTGCTTCACTTTTCCCAGCTTATTTCGATAAGCATCGAAAAATTAACCTTATCGGGACGATCGTTTTCACGAATCAGCGTGGCAGCAAGTTCCGCGTGCGCGCGCATCCACGTTCGAAAATCCGACGCGCGAAACTCGCGGTCGCTCGCGTTTCCAGGCGAACAGCAGCGTGTCGATAAAATTTCGCGGAGGACACTGTAACGATCGTGTTTATTGCGAGTTACGTGATGGGCGCGAATGGCGTGCACGAGGAGGTATCGAGCGCGCCTGTTTCACCGCGGGCAAACGGCGCGCAAAAGAAAACGTCGCGATCGTCTAATGAATTGAATTTGAACGAGCGGAAGCGCAACGTCAACTTACCACGAAACAAGTCGCCGCTTATCGATGGGTTTTTTCGGGGCGTTACGGTGAGGTAACACCGTGACGGAAAGCAGCCGGGGCCGCGTTTCACGCGATCCTCGCCGCGATAAATAAGCAAACGCGGGGATCGACTCGACCCGGCTCGTGAATTAATTAACGTTTCGCGTGCCGTTCATTTTCCAGCGAAGCTCATTACAGTGGCCATCCGCTGTGTAATAATAATGATTACTCGCCGTGGAGTTTGTAACCATTTTATACAGGCGGAATAAACAAAATGCTGTCGGCCGCTGAAAATCAAAAGGGGAAACGATCGAACGTTTTGTAATGAAATTAACCCGAGATGTTTCTAAGACGATTAATTCGCGGGTAACGCTATTATCATTTTTCCTTTTCTCACTCTGCTTTATTTTTTTGCCAAGATCTATTTATAAAGCCTGTTACGATAATCCTTCTTGTTCTCTGTTAATGTTAATGTTGTGATGTTAGTTCTCTGAGAAAACAGACGATTAAAATATCAGGAGCGATGTTTACACGGTTCGAATTATTATCGCGTTGAATAAAAATTGTAGCGTAAATCGCGTTTTCCTTACGCTCGGCTGACGTACAGTGTACGCGTAAGCGTTCGATGACATGTGGAGTTGTTAGAGCAACAGGAAAATCAAAATAAATGCTTCGCTAGTCGATAAGCGATTTCAGTCGATAAATTGATTCCCTTAGTTTTCATTTCCTCAGAAATCATAACCGACAGCGGTTCTGTCTTTGATTCTGGCGAGACTGCAAGCAGAGTGCAAATGCCGAAATGAAAGATAGTGGAAGTTCGGCGCGTAAATCA